ATGGGTGAGAAAATAAAATGGTTTCTAGAGATGGAATCTCCCTTGAGAAATTAAACAGTTTATATGCACCAGTGGAGTTTGACTGGAGTCTCATTCTAATTTTTAAATTTTTACTTTATTTTTATTTTATGTGTATGAGTGTTTTGCCTACATGTATATAAGGGTACCATGTGTACGCAATGTCCAAGGAGGCCAGAAGAGGATGTTGGAGCCCCTGGAACTGGGATTATGGACAGCTGTTAGCCACCATGTAGGTGCTAGGAACTGAACCCCGGTCCTCTGGAAGAGCAGTCAGTGCTCTTAGTCACTGCACCATCTCTCCAGCACCTCACTCTAATTTTTGACAGAAGCTCTGCTGTAGGTAGAGTGCTCTCCACCTGCATCACATGGTACAGAGGAACCTCTCATGAAAGAAGAGTCAACTGATGAAGCAAATGTCTTTGCTGTCTTAAGAGACTGCCACAGCCATCTCAACCTTCAATAACTGCCAATCTGATCAGTCAGCAGCCACCAATATCAAAGCAAGACCAGCAAAAGCATTACTACTTGCTGAAGGGTTTTTTGTTTTGTTTCTGAGACAGAGTCTCAATAAGTGGCTCTGGCTGACACAGAGATCCACCTGCCTCTGCTTTGGGAGTGCTTGGATTAAAAGCATGCACCACCACGCTCTGCTCACTGAAGGTTTTTAAAATTAAGATATGTAGATTTTTTTGGATACAGTGGTATTAGTGCAGACTGAGAATACAGTATAGTGTAAACTGACCTTTATATGCACCAGGGAAAGCCAAAAAGTCATGTAACTAGATTTACTGCAATATTTGCTTAATTGTGGTGATTTGGAGCCAAACTCAGTGTCTTCACAGTATCCCCATATGTCTTCAGCCTTAAAGCTCTGTAAACTTGCCTTCTAGTTCTCCCAGAGCATGGTTTAGCATGGCTTCTACAAGGGACAAGATGGGATCTCTTAGCAAGGGTGCATAAGAAGATTCCTGACAGGGAAAGGAGAAGCAAGACCACTGCACTGCCTTCTTTCCTCAGTCAAAGGAAGAGAGAAGCCAAGGACACATGATCTGCCACATTTCCTCCTCCAAGGCAGAGCCTCAGCGACTGCTCCAAATGCCCTAGAGACTGAGTTCTGTGAGAGATAGGCTTTGATTTTTTCCATCTTTATAAGCAGATACCACAGCATCAAAGTAGTTGGCACCTAACTTTTTTTCCCCTTGATGGTACTAGGGATGGACCTGAGAGCCTTGTAAACGCTATATAAGAGCTCTACCACTGAGCTATAGTCTAGCTCTCATTAGCACATTTTCATTAGATGAATAAGGTTATCAACTTAGAGAAACAGCAGAAGGCAGAATGAAACCTAGCTTGTCTACAGAATGCTGTATACAGAGGTTTAATAATTCTGTGAACATGTGACTACGTATTTCCATATGTAGCCCATCCATGGAACAGTAGGAAGATAAAAGTAAGAGAACTTTGAGAATGGAATCTAGTCCACTGAGGGTCCCTGCTGACTGAGCTTCCTAATCTGTAAGACTGCTATGCCAGATGGTCTGCCAAGCTAAAATAGCAGTGACTGGATTCCTCTATTAGATCAAGAAAGAAAGACCATGGACTATACTGCTACCAAGATGGCTTTCATTTCTTAGGAACTCATTGATACATTTTCATGTTATTTTAAAATTAGAATATAAACCTATCTACATGGAAAGCCAAGGCATGAAAAGATGCTCAAGACCTAGAAAAGCTAAAAATATATAGTTTGGGGGCTGGAGAGATGGCTCAGCAGTTAAGAACATTTTGCTGTTCTTCCAGAAGACCCGGGTTTGATTCTCAGCACCCACATGGCAGCTAACAACTGTCTGCAACTCCAGCTTCAGGGGATCCAAAGTCCTCTTCTGGCCTCTGCAGTCTTTGCATGACACAGGTGCACTTACATACATGCAGGCAATATACTCACATACATAAAATAAAAATAATAAAAAATATTTAAAATATATATATAGTTTGCTGGGAGTGGTGGCACATGCCTTTAATCCCAGCACTTGGGAGGCAGAGGCAGGTGGATCTCTGTGAGTTCGAGGCCAGCCTGGTCTACATAGTGAGTTCCAGGACAGCTGGGGCTACAGGGAGACCCTGTCTCAAAAAGACAACAACAACAACAACAACAAAAAAATATATATATATATATGTGTGTGTGTGTGTATAGTTTGATTTTGCTTTAAAATTTTATTAGTATGTATACAGAAAATATCTGGAGGCACACAGTTGAAAATGTGAATAGTAATTAACTTTTAGAGGCAAAATTAGGTTAAAATTACATTAAATGCATAGATTAAGAGCATTTTCTCTTATTTTTTTTTTTATGTGTATGAGTGTATTGCCTACATGTATCTAAGTGCACCTGTGTCATGCAATGCCCACAGAGGACAGAAGAGGGCAGCAGATCCCCTGGAACTGGAGTTATGGATGGTTGTTAGCCGCCATGTGGATGCTAGGATTTGAACTTGGGTCTTCTGCAAGAGCAGCCAGTGCTATTAATCACTGAGCCATCTCTCCAGCCCCTGGGAGGAGCATTTTTAAAAATAATATACATATTTAATATTTTATTGATTTTTTTTTTAGAAAACATTTTTAATATTTTATTTTTATTTTATGTGCATGAGTATATCACCTGCATGTGTGTAAGTGCACCCATGTCATGCAATGCCTATGGAGGTCAGAAGAGGACATCAGATCTCTTGGAACTGGAGTTACAGGTGGTTGTTAGCCGCGATGTAGGTGCTGGGAATCAAACCCTGGTCCTCTGCAAGAACAGTCAGTGCTCTTAACTGCTGAGCCATCTCTCCAAGTCCATTAGTTATTATTTTTATTTTATATGTACGAGTGCATTGTCTGCATGTGTACATGTGCATTCATGTCATGCAATGCCCTTGGAGGTCAGAAGAAGGTGTTGGATCCCCTGGAACTTGAGTTATGGACGATTGTTAGCTAAAATGTGGGTGCAGTCAGGGCTCTTAAACATTAAGCCATCTCTCCAGCCCCTATAATTTATATTTTTATGTTTCTATTTTTTTTTTTTTTTTTGTCTTTTTGAGACAGGGTCTCCCTGTAGCCCCAGCTGTCCTGGAACTCACTAGTAGACCAGGCTGGCCTCGAACTCACAGAGATCCGCCTGCCTCTGCTTCCCAAATGCTGGGATTAAAGGCATGCGCCACCACACCCGGCTATGTTTCTACTTTTTAAATTATATGTATTATCTCTATAATCAGAAAAAGAAATATAAAAATAAAACGAAACTTCAAAAAGTTTTTCTTTATTTAGTAAAAGGTAAAAGAAGTGAGATTCAGTGATCGAGGGGGTTGTCGTGAAGCCGTCTTTTGCCAGTACTGAGCCCCACAGCACTTCTGAGAGTCAGCACAGACGCCATACTTGTCCCCTAAAGCGCCAGTGCTTCAGCATTTGACTTTCAATATTTAAACACTGAAGTTCTGCTGCCACTAAGTCTAAAACATCTGATCTCAAACAGATATTAATAATTTATTTCTGAATGTTCCTCAAAGCACTTCCTGGTGTTTGAGCAGGTCTCCAGGAATAGCAATGAGTGGTCTTACACATTTTCTAAGCACAAGGTTTTGGTAGCTAGCTTCTCTGACTCTAAACTCTGCTACACAGATGGGTGGCAGGGGTCAAGGCCTGGCACTCTATGTGCGAGGGTTCTCTGTTCAAGAAGCATAAGGCAGGGACAGGCCTTTCCTTCCCATGTGTGGCCAGACTCTCTGAATCATAGTCACCCAGCTGTAGAAGACTGAGGATCACCAGAGACTATTTTCATATGAATGGGAAATTAAGTCAGCAATTAGAAACAGATCAGGTCAAAGGCTTTTTTTTTTCTTTTGGTCAGCACCTTGCTATATTGGTCTGACTGGCTTGGTACTGCATTTGTAGCCCAGACTTGCCTCCAACTTGTGGCAAACCTCCTGCCTTAGCCTCCTAAATGCTGGATTATAGAAGTGTTCCATATTAGGCCAGACCAATGTCTTGTTAAAGCAACTTTAACAAAATTATTTATTTTTATTTCACATGCATGAGTATATTGCCTGCAAGTATCTACGTGTACCCGTGTCATGTAATGCCTTAAGAGGCCAGAAGAGGATGTCAGATACCCTGGAACTGGAGTTACAGACAGTTGTTAGCCATGTGGGTGCTGAGAACTGAACCCAGGTCCTCTGCAAGAGAAGCCAGGGCTCTTAACTGTAAGCCATTTCTCCAGCCCCTAACACAACTTTGAGAGAACTCTTTCTCATCACTGGTCTTTCTACAAATAGTGACTATCTAGAAATCTTTTTGTATTTTTAGAGGGCTGTTGTAGTACTTTTGACATCTCTTTGGAGGTTATTAGAGTTACTCTAATCTCAGTAAGTTAACAGAAAAATTTGACTTCAGAAAATGTAAATGAAAGGTTTCAATATCTGAACTAAAAAAATGTCTGTATTGTCTAATCTAGTCTAGGTTTAGAGGATGATTTTTGGAAATTTAAATTTTGTGCTTGCTATGAATTATCTGTAATGACCAAGGAGAGTCTTAGACATGAAATGCCTTTCCCTGCTTTGTTTATTATTCCTGACTTTATAGTCAGATCCTCACCTGAATTCTTACTGGGCGAAACTAACATGGCGTTTTCTGTTTACTACATCTGTGCTTGTTCACTGAGGCAGGGGAACCTATCTGAATTTCTGCATCAAAGCCAGCAGAGGGAGCGCACTCACACAATACTGAAGCCAGCTAGGAGGGGAACAGTGGGATAAACAATTCAACTTTCTTCACTAAGAATGCTTGTTTTGAATGTGGATGAATTATCACACAATAAAGCAACAGGATGTTGACGATGGCGCTGAGGTGAAGAACCCTTGACAAGATGTATTTAGAGAGCTCAGCAGCCAGTGCATCAAGGACAAGGCTATGGCTACAGCAGGCACACACTCTGCCCGTACCTGTTTCTCAAGGCTTGGTTTGCTAAGTTGTACAGTCTGAGGTCCAGTGAGTCTGGTCCCTGGAGTGGCTATCACAATGCTGGTGAGCTGGGCCATGGGGAACGTTTTGGCTATGGTTGCGGTCTGCCCATTGACGACACGGACGGGGTGGATGGAATTCTGGGATGTAGGGAGGGTTGTGGGTGTAAACTTGGTCAGCATGACGGGTCTCTGGATAAGCTGAGGAGCTGCAAGCATGGGAGGAGGTGCTGGGGCAATAGGAATGTTATTCTGGGCCACAGGCTTGGGTCGAACCTAAGGGGGAAAGAGAACAATTACTGTATTACTTAAAGTAGTAAGTCCTGTATTATTTCTAAGCAGATTGATGCCACAAATCTGAATGTAAACTTAAAATGATCCTGTGACAGGTACTATTGATCTAGCAGTAGGAACTACATTTAACACACTTAAGAGTACACACATGGAAACACTGAGTTCACAGCCCACTAATGGGTTATGACCTGCTGCTTGAGAAACACAGACTAACCCTTAGGTTCTTTGCTGAAAAACTTTCAAAGTCTGTTGTGAGAATTAAAACAGATGGTACCTGGTACAGTGAGATTAAATAGTTAATACCATTTTGGATATTACCCTGTCATTCCTACTCACCATCTTAAGTACCTCCAATCTATTCTTTGCATAGTAGAAAGAGGGAGTTTTCTAAAACTAAGTCTGATCATTTCAAGCACTTTTCTAAAAGCGCTCTTGTGGATTCCTACTGCTGCTAGGCTACGGCCCAGACTCCTCCTGCACAGTAGTGAGAACCTGGCTTCTCATCCCAGTGTACTTCTCCAGCCTCATGTCTAAGTCTAACCTGGGTCAGCCTCATGGCCTCTCTGTGCAGCCACAGCAAATCTCCCTCGACTCCTTGAACTTACATGTGTGTCTCCACCCCAGATATGAAGATTTGTGCTCTAATCTCAGTTTAGGACACTTTTATTCCTTCCTCAAAATTCTGTCAGACTAACTTTACCAGATTTCAGGCTTCATACAATGTAGACACTTCAAGGAAAGCTTGAATAAACTTCCTCTAATACTCTTTTGTTGTTGCTGTTTCTTGAAACAGGGTCTCCCTGTAGTCCCAGCTGGCCTAGAACTAACTTTGTAGACCTCTGCCTCTGGAGTACTGAGATTAAAGGAGTGTGACACCACACCCGGCTCTTCCTCTAATACTCCAATACTCTTCCCATGTGCTCTCCGGTTACCTATACTTTCCTTAATGGACACTGTAACTGCCAGTAGGTGTCTCTTAAGCTCTCAGTGGCTGAGAACAGTGTCTTGAAAACCAGCAAACCCACAGGACAGTAGCACAGTACAATGTTTGCTGCCCAGGTATTTAGTAAAGATTGATCTGGCAAATGATGGAATTGCCTTCTCTCGTGTGGGCACTCTACAACCCTCACAGGCACCTTTCTCTTCTCTCTGCCTTTCTATTGGACAGTCTACCTTAAGAATGAAAAGGACCAGTTTAATTGCTGAACTCTAAGGAGTTACGAACAAGCAGTGTGCTGGGGCCTGGGTAGAAAGGCCCCTACGTAGACCCCTACCCCAACCTCTGGAAGCAAGGTTTTACACTGGTTTGGCTGATGCTTCCTTCTCTACTTTTTGGTAAAGAGAAAAGAAAGAAAAAGTGGTAATTATATTCTTTCCCCACTGCCAGGTCAGTTTTGGCTAATATTTTCTAGCAATGTAGTAAATATCATAATTATAATGGTATTATGTTGACTGTTTCAAATTCAGGGCCCTTTCCTCCACCTTCAGGATTCCCTGCTAGTCTCTTTGGCCAATGATAACAACCATAATGATGAAAGAAGCTTCTTCATGATAGAGAATCCAGCGGGCAGATTTCTTAGCTGGGTGGGATTTGAACACAGCTGAACTGATAAGCCTGTTTTACAGGCTGCTTCGACAAAGTCCATGAGGATTTCCCTTCCACTTAGCCCATCACTGGGTTTCTACTGGTTTACTCACCTGTGGAAGAAAGTTTGGACGAGGAGTGAGTCTAGGAGGGGGGATAAACTGTGGTACTTTGATGGGCTGAGGAGGTGTTGCCTGAACCTGCTGAAAAAATTGGGAAAGATAAGCCAGAGAGAACAGTCGTAGCTCACTTTCAAAGCCAGGCATTCCTAGAGCCACTCAGCATCTATTTTCTGCCTCAAACAGTATTTTCTAGAAGCTTTCACTGTTCAGTTAACTATCTGAATTCGCAGTGCTTTGGCAAACTTTTTCTTTTCCTCTTGCATACTTCATCCCATAGACTAAGCCAGGCACATTTCCGTTTTCTTCCATATCTGTGGGACACAGCAGGCTCAGCAATCTCAAGACAGTTTTCACTGACACTCAGCAACTCTTACACTTAAATATTAAGAGTCAAGACTGGACCCAAAGTAAAACTGAACTTGCTACCTGGTCAAATGGATACCCCTCCCCGACCCACTAGACACAAGCTTCACCCTATAGCAAATGGCTCTCTTCCTACAGAGAATTTTCTACCTCTCAGTATCTGGCTGAGTGGTCTGGTTGCTTCTCTAAGGCTTCCTGGCTAAGTGACAAAGCTTCTCTTTGTCGCTATATTTACTCATTAGTGGTCATTATTCAAAAACTCACCAAGAGCTTTTACTTGTCTTTTTCAGAGGAGAATTTTATATCCAATTTGGACTTTGTTCTCATAAGCTTCCAAGAACAATAGTTTCTAAATGGCTTGGATCTTAGAAATCTCATGAACAATTCTTGTGCCAAATATTTCCTCCAGGGGATTTCTTCCCCCTGATAGAACTTGACTGTTGGTATGTTAATTTGTGAGTTTCTTGAATATTTTTGAAGTGTGCCCCCAACCAACTTTAAGTACTTCCTGGTTGCATTCAATTTAAAGGGATAATGAACTGAAAGAATTTAGCAGGGCGTTTTCCTCAAAGCAGTAGCATACACGAGAGAGTTTAAGCACTCATGTTTCACAGGAAGGACAGAGGGAAGGAAAAATGAAGCAGGGTGCCTCTGTAAAGGCCACTCTCCCTCAAAAACCATATTATACTCTGCCTTCAGGGCACTGAACTAGTCCTTGGTGTGAGGGCTCCTCTGGTTAACCAAGCAGAGCAGGAATGCTGCACTCTCTCATTGGGCCTATAGGGGAGTTTGGTTTGCCAGAATGATGGGAGAGAGAAACCCAGCAGGAGCCTAAAATGGATACACCTTACAGGTGCCTAGCCTGAACCCTCTCACGTGGGCACACTTGAGTAGCGGCTTACCAGAGTGACTGTGTTTTTTGCCACAATTTGGACAGCCTCTGCCCCAGGCCCAGTGACCTTACTAGACGTCTGGAGGTTGACTGGTGTGTTCTGCACATCGGTGCTGAGCACAGCCTTCTGACTGTTGATTGCGGTCACCATAGCAATGGTAGGTCTCTGGCCCACAACAGAGGCCGGCATGGTCGCAGTTGCTGCTTTCAAGACGAGAGGTAGTGTCTTTGTGGTAATCATAGAAGCTGTAGTTACAGTCTTCTAGGAGACATGGAGAACAGATATTAGGACATGGAAATGTGACCCCAGTAAACAATATACTGCTGAACTCCAAAAGAAAACAAAGCAGTAGCACTACAGCCATCAAGTTCTCTATATAACAAACATTTATTTTGTGTATATAGAACACACTTCTTACTATAAAGACAATCTCTAGTTTGCTAGTGTTCTGGAGTTACTGTCACTTGTAAATGGCTCAGCAAGTTCACTGTAGTGAATGCAAACCACATAGACGCAGGGTTTTCAACAATGAATAAAGTTAGTCTATGGGTACAGAATGAGTGCACTTATTGCTTCTGGTTTTTCTAATTCTTTGCATAAAATCAATTAATTAAGGTACAAGTTGCACATCAGTGAGCTACACATCACCTCCTCGCCTGCTTGCTATAACCTCACCAATCTGGTTATCTGCCTCTCTCGACACAAAGGCTGGGTTGGGGAAGGACAGTGTCTTTTCATCTTTCTAAGTGTAACCCTGGAGAAGTAAAAGGGAAACTCACATGAGCATCAGTACAACTGCTGTCTCAGAGGCAGTAAATCCCAAGCTCCAGCTAGTACAGGAAATACTGGTTCTTGATACCAAAGGAGTATGTGTTACTACCTAGAATCTTTTCTCTGGAGGACTGCTGCAAAGTGATCAAAGACTAGGGAAATGTGACAAGGTGGGAACAAACACCTGAGTTTCAAAAAGGCTCAGAAATGAAAGGACAAGCTCTAGTGACAGGACCTGACTGATGCTCAAGAGTGTGTCCGCAGCTTTGAAGCTGTATTTGCCTAACTTTCTACTAGGATAATTACAAGAGTCAGTTACAAAGAAAGAAAACAGAATCAATCTTTTTACATGGCACATATATCTATCTGGCACTTACTAGTCACTAAAGATACAGACCTTGAGGAAAACTTATCTCCAGTTCACTGGCTCTGATATTAATTTGACTTTTACTTCTTTTTTTTTAAATTTATTTTTAATTTTTATTTTATGTGTATTGAGTATATTGCCTACATGTGTGTTAGTGCACCCATGTCATACAATGCCTGTGGAGGTCAGAAGAGGGCGTCAGACCCCCTAGAATTGGAGATAAGGATGGTTGTTAGCCACTATGTGGGTGCTGGGAATTGAGCAGCAGTCAATGCTCTTAAACTGCTGAGCATCTCTCCAGTCCCTGACTTCTACTTCTTACTCTAAACAGTACTAAACAATTTGGGGTCTTCTAACCATACCTGGATATTTATAAGTTTCAAATTTAAAAAAAGAGAAAAGGTCAGTTTACCAGTTGTACTTGCCACAGTTCAAAGCCACACGTGGCCAGTGACTACCACGCTGGACAGTGCAGTTGACAGCATTCCCAGCGCTGCAGGAAGTTTTACGGGACAGAGCAGCTCTAGACCAGTGCCGATCACCTCACTTTCCTGAGAAGACTTCCCCTGAGAAGTCCTACAGCAGCATCTGCATCAGTTCCTGTATGTTCAGTTACTGAGTTGTACATGTTCATTTCCTTTGTCTGCCTGACGTGTGCACGTGCACACATGCTCAGCTTTTAATATCTTTTAATTTTCTTTTAACCAAAAAATGTAATAATCTCATCCATCCCACCATAATTTAGTCAGCAATCCTTATTAATATCTGTAGCTAAAATCACCTAAATCTTGTTTCATTTTCTCTGAGGCAACACTACGGGAGTGGCTTACTCTTCTTGTTACTGCATCATGCCTCTCCAGTGTGAAATGGAGTACCTGGAGCAGCAGATCATCTGCTTTCTATCAGGGACAAAAGCCAAATTAAAGCTAAATGCCATTTATCATGAGGAAATGTTAGAGTTGTATAGCAGCGAAGACTACCTGCATGTCAGCTGTTTGTAGAAAGAGTTTTTAACACAGTATGGTATCAGCCTTGTCTCTCAATTGAAAATGTTTAAATACAAAGCGCTTTTGAGGTGGTGAGCAAGTCACAACAGATGGCTGTGGAAGTGAAGCTCTGGTCAGCAGAACTCAATGACATGGATTTTAAAGCAGTTTGTATGTTGTTATTGCTTTAAATGAGGTCAATGCACTTTTGCTTAAACATCTTTAGATGAGGCAAATCATTATCAAGATTTTGATTAACCCTAAACTTACTATTCTATCAATACTGAATAAAACCTCAATCCACCTAAACTATATACTTCCCACTAACTCAATACTTAAATAACATGGAAACTTGACAAATTTGTTCACATCTTAGCATTTTATATCTCTTTATATACATTTAATTGTGGCTGGTTTACATGTATGCCAACATCTACATGATCCCATATAATATACAGGCAAAAGCCTCGTACAAATGCTTCAGTGAAAACTTCTTGATGAATAATTTACTATTCACTGACATAAAAACACAGTTTAGTTAAGATTTTCACTCCTGGTTTAGTGCTTATTCCAGTCCAAATATTAGAGAACATAAAACGAAGTCTTGGGGTGCTAGGGTTTAGATAGGAGAACTTTGAAGTCCAAGCCTGCTGAAAATGTCTCAACTGTCCTGGCAAGAGGAAGGGAAGACAATGATTTTCATGGAAGCTGTGTTTGGTAATGGCTAGTTAATGCTGCTCAAGTCTGATCGTCTTCAAGAGAAGGTAGTAGATACCACAGTTTTATTAAGTTCTTTAATTGTGACCAAACCTAAACTATCCAAGCTAGAAGTTAGTATAGATACAAGAGGCAAATAACACTAATAGAAAAATCCTTTTTATTTTATTTTAGTTCATTAATTATTTAATTAAAAACTGTTTTTGGGGACATAGTTTCATTCTGCAGCACAGGCCACCCAAACATGTAACAGTCATCCTGCCTCAGCTTTCTGAGTGCTGTGATAACAGGTGCGAACCACAAAGCCTAGCTAAATTCCTTTTTATTTTTTGCTAAGTTATTGTTGGCCTGTAAAATATGAGGCATTTTGATTTAAAAACAGATGGATTCGATGTACAAAACCAGAACTTAGAGGGATTATTTCCATGGGCTCTAATTAACCTTTACATCTATTTTAGAGTGTTTGCTTTATTTTGAGTGGGAAGTTACTGTTGTACACTTAACCACAAATAGAACTCTCCCTCCCCTTTGTCTGTGAGGCTTTATTTTGGTGTTTGGTTTTAACTACTGACTTCTTTTTATGTGTACTTTATCATTACAGATGAGAGGTGAATACAGGTTGAAGGGTGTACCTCTATTAAAAGTGTTCTTTTTTTTCCCGCTTTTTTCTTTAGATTGGAAAAATTTCAAAACGTACATATAAGCATAAGTTGGAGTTAATTAAGTAAAAAAAAAAAAACTGGTCTGATCTACTCCTTCCAGAAGACTTTTTCACTGCCTTCTCTGTGCCTTGGTACATGTCAGTCAACTTAGAATAAAAACTTTCTCCACCTAGCACCTTCTTCCTGCCCCCTCCAATCACTACTTAGTAGTAACTCCTTTCTGAAGTTCCATATTTAGTATGTGCCATATTTAAACTCCCATCTGCCTGTCCTTTGAGCCTTTAATTACCTTTCTATGACTATTAAACACCCAAGTTTAATCATACATTAGACATAGCCTTTCCTGCCTTTCCTGGCCCATATCTCTCCCATCACTTCACAGATCTTATATTCTGGCCACAGGAACTGACTTGCTATTTCAAAGGCATGCTTTCACCTTTTGCTTTGTTTTTCTTTTGTTGCATTTTTGAGACAGGGTCTCACTATGGAGTCCTGGCTGGCCTTGAATTTTTCAATCCTCCCAAGAGTCAGTATTATAGATGTGTGTCACCAAGCCTGGCTTTGCATTTTTTTTTTTTTTTTTTTAAGATTTTAACTTTTTTTTTTTTTGTCTTTTTGAGACAGGATCTCCTTGTAGTCCCAGCTGTCCTAGAACAGATTGCTATGTAGACCAGACTGGCCTCAAACTCACAAAGATCCGCCTGTCTTTGCCTCCCAAGTGCTGGGATTAAAGGCGTGCACCACCATGCCCGGCCTATTTTAACTTTTTAAAAAATTATTTCATTTAATTTGGGGCATATGTGTGGATATGTGCACCTGAGTGTGGGTGCCTGTGGTGGCCAGAAGAGGATATTGGACCCCCTGGGGCTGGAGTTATAGGAGGTTCTGAGCTGCTAGATGTAGGTGCTGGGAACCAAACTCCAGTCCTCTGCAAGAGCAGTACAGGCTCTAACAGTTGAGCCCCGCCAGTTCCCGCATTTACTGTTTGTGACTCCACACCTTCTGGATCAACTTAGGGTCTCTACCTATGATGCTCTTTCCCCTGGGCTCCATCACTGAAATCCCAGGCACTGGTCAAGGCTCTGTTCATGGCATGCCTTTTGAGAAGCACTTTCTGATTCCACTAATGAAAAGCACCCTGCTCTCTGCTGTTTTCACAACTCTTTACTGGTACTTTGATTTTACCTTTGCTCATAGTTTGTATCTTTCTCTCAAATTTCTCCAGTTCTTGAAAAACAGAAACTATCTTGCTTATGAATCTAGCCTCCAAACTGCCTAGCTCAGTGCTTGCACACAGTAACAATTCAATAAATAGTTACATAATGACTAACAATCATCATAATACACCAGATTCTTGGTAGGGACCATTGCTTTCTGTATACCAGGATTTAGCACATAGAGAACAGTAGATAAATATTGCATGGTAGCTTACTGTAAAGACAAACACCCAAAACCTAGAGGGCTCTTTGGGTTTTAGTATTAACCTTTGTATTAACCAAAACAACATAAAACCAAGGTTAGCTAAATCAATTAACTATGTCGGTTGGGCTAGGAGTTGGAGAGATGCTAGGTAGCATGTTTGGAGGTAATCCTGGGCCCTCTCTGTCCACCACCACAAAGCAGAACTCAGGTGAACAGAGAAGGTAACAACTGAGTATTTTATAAATCTTTATCTATGTAATATGGAATGTTACTCAAGTAGAAATTTTTCATGGTTTAAAACAATGTACCAGGAAACAACAATTCTCTAACACTCTTTCTATGTGTATACTCTCTCATCTAACTGTATTTTGGAAAGAAAAGGACCTAACCCAACTGCTTACAACACCAACAAAAGTAAACCATAAGCACTCTGCAAAGCGGTACTAATCTTGGTCAGAGGGATTTAAAGACATTTTTAAATGCCTAATTGACAGTGTTGGGTAGAGACTGGTGGACATTTTTTTTTTAGCTCTAGCTATCTGACTTAAATCGGGATCTCTCCTTCCTTGGTTTTATACAATGTCGGCATTCCCTTTCATGGCATCGTATGGCAGTCTAGAAAAGTGGCTGGACAAATTTTCCATTGAGAACCTCTGGGTTCAGTTCTTGGCTCCACTGCTCACTAGCCACTATTGATGCCTTAAGTTTTATCTTCTGAAAGTCTTTAAATAGTAGGACCAGGATGAAGAGTGTGTCCACTGAACAGTAAAGCACTGGGGTGCTCTGGTACTCAGCAGCCGCTACTGAACACTAAGCACTGTCAGTATTTTTGTAATTGGTTCATTCCTCACTTCTATATGTTGTATGTGATCCAACATCTGTGAACAGTGAATAGCTAAGTATATATTACACTTTTTATCTACATGTATAGTGAAGACTAGGTATTGGTGGGTGTTGAGTTTTCAGAAGATCCTAACACTGAATATGCAAAGTAAGTACACTGAATATGGATGCACATTTTTCCAGGGAAGGATCCATAGCTTTCAGTAGTCTTGAAGGGCTTTGTGATACGCCCCATCCAAGAACCAAGATTCACTGTTCACTAGTCTCTATCTTTTTTCTACCTACCTACCTACCTACCTACCTACCTACCTACCTACCTACCATTCAGTCATTCATTTATTTTTCTTATACTGGGGACGGAACCTAGGGTCTCATACACGCTAGACAAGCACTCTATTACTGAGCTACAGCCCCAACCATTAGTCTGTATTTTCATTCATTCATTCACTCACTCACTCTCGTGTGTGTATGTGTGCGCACATGTGGAGGCCAGAGGTCAACCTCAGGTGTCATTCCCCAGCTGTCATCCATCTTGTCTTTTGAGACAGGTTCTCTCACTAGAACCTGGGACTCACTGGCTCAGCTAGAGGGGCTGGCTGGCTGGTAAGGCTCAGGGATTCTCCGGTCTTGGCTTCCCCAGCAGTGAGATTACAAATGCATGTGACCACACCCTGCATTTTTATGTGGGTGACGTGGAGCAAACTCAGGTCCTTAGGTTTCTGCAGCAAGTACTTTACCAACTGAGCTACCTCCCCAGCCCCCATCTCTTCTTAAAATGTATATCCATAATATCCGTGTGTGTGTGTGTGTGTGTGTGTGTGTGTGTGTGTATACGGTATGTGTGTATATGGTGTGTATGGTATGTGTGGGGTGTATGTGTGTGTGTGTGTGTGTGTGTGTGTGTGTGTGTGTACGGTATATGTGTGTATGGTGTGTATGGTATGTGTGTGGGGTGTGTGTATGGTGTGTATGGTATGTGTGGGGTGTATGTGTGTGTGTGTATGGTATATGTGTGTATGGTGTGTATGGTATGTGTGTGGGGTGTGTGTGTGGTGTGTATGGTATGTGTGGTGTGTGTGTGTATGATGTGTGTGGGGTGTGTGTGGTGTGGTGTGTGTGTGTGTGTGTGTGTGTGTGTGTCTGTGTGTGTAGGTCAAGCTTGAATAGTTTTCTTAATCAAATGTCACTTCCAAATATACTCTTTTAGTGTATCTTGACTATCTCTCCTTACATTCTACACTAGATTAAATGCCCTTTTCAGTAAAAGCATTTCCATAGCTACAAGTTAGAATTTTAAGTTCCCACTTAGTTCTAGGCTTCACCTGTACCTCTCATTGCAGATCTCCATCAGTGTATCAGAACAGACTCATATTCCTGACTGTGAACTTCAAGTGAGTGTACTGTTTCTATGACTAATAAAAACACAGCACCCTTCTGAATGCTGCTTTCTACCTGGTCCCAGAAGCATGGATCCTAAACAGCTCCATCCTAACTTCAGAACAACAATTCCAGAAGTGGTTAAGTCACATATTTCAGAATAATAAATGCCCCCAGAAACCCCCAATAAGGCTTTCATTCAGTTGGGGTGTTCAGAGTGGTTTTTCTTTGCCACCGACTATCTTTTTCTTCTTCTTTGGACAAGTAGGAAATTATTTAACTTGTTGGGGGGCGGGTACTGACCTTGGGCATGCCTGGCAAGTACTCTACCACTGACCTACATCCCCAATGGAAATCATTTAACTTCTCTTTTTCTCCTCCCCAACACCTTTCTGCTTTTGAGATAGGGTATCAAGCAGCCTAAGCTGGATGCAAACTTGAATTTGCCATCTAGTCAAGGATAACTATGAACTTCTGATCCTCCCTGCCTCCTCCTCCTGAGTGCTGAGATCATAGGCATGCACCACTATGCCTGACTTTACCCAGCACTGGGAATGGAACTCACAGCTTCATGCATGCTATGCAAGCTCTGTATCAACTGAGCTATGTCTCCAATCCAATCATTAAACTCTTGCTCCCTAGTAATGCTTTTCCTTCTGCCAGTGTGTTTCAACTGATTCTTACCACAGGGATAGTCAAAAAATAACCAAGTTTTTACTTGTTTTACACTAGTTGAGCTTAAGATAGCTAAAGCAGGATCCAGTTCTATGTGACCAGTAATGAATCAACAGACAGCACAGAGCCTTGGGACCTCTGTCCACACTTTTACCTGTGAAGCAGTCAGGCTGGGAGAGGGTGTAGCTGACTGCTGGGCGTGGTGGTGGTGGTACTGCTGCTGCTGCTGTAGCTGCTGTAGTGGCTGCTGCTGTGCTGTTTGTAGTTTGTTTTCAGATTGTGGCAATGGCTGTATTTGGAACTTGTCTGGTTGTTCTTGCTTTACTATCAGGTTCTTTCGCAGCTGTTCAACTACTCTTTTCTACCAAATGAAGACAAAAGAAAGGAAATCTATCAGAAAGCTGTCTGTCAAATGCATGGAAATATATTCCTATATATATATTCCATGTTTATATTCCTAAAACATCTTTCTATAATCAGCTTCATCTAAATCTCAGTCCATTGAAAATGTACATATTCTACAGAAGAGGAATTAAGGAACCTTACAGACATTTCCATTAATATAAAACCAAAGTTATACGAATGTTTTCTTTATGAAGGGAAATTGAGACATACAGATAAAAGTATGCCAGGTGTGGTGGCACACACCTTTAATCCCAGCACTTGGGAGGCAGAGGCAGGTGAATCTCTGTGAGTTCGAGGCCAGCCTGGTCTACGTAGTGAGTTCCAGGACAGCTGGGGCTACACGGAGACCCTGTCTCAAAAAGACCAAAAAAAAAAAAAAAAAAAAAAACCCACAAAAAAACCCCACAAAAACATGAAGCAGGGCCTAAGTTCTTTCCCACCCTTCCTCCACAGTTCTTTTTCTTTTCTTCCTACCTTTTTTTTTTTTTGGTGAAAAAAATGAAATGCCAGTCATGCTAATTTTAACTATTCACACAAACATCATGTATGTATTCTACTTTGAAACATTAAACAAGGCTCAGGATATAGCACAGTAGTAGAGAACTTGCCTAAAATGTACAAAATCCTAGGTTCAATCCCCACAAACACAACAAAAAAAAAGTCTTTTGGTTTTCTTTCTGAGCAAAGAAACCTTGATATCAGCTATACGAGCAAAAGACAGTCTAGATTACTGAACTGTGTAATTACTGAGTGGGACTTCTTTGCTCAGATAGACTCTGTAGAAATACATGCCTATAAATACATGAATATGTATCTGTTTAGGCAGAGTAGAGATTTAACTACATGGGATGAAAATGGAAAGTTAAGGTTCCATAAATTTTCTAGCCCTTGTTCAAACCCAAAACAATCTGCTTTTGGATATTTTCATATTATAATAACCCAACCCTCTCTATCTGCTTCTTTCCTTTCTTTCGTTTTGGTGTAGGTGATTAACCTCAGGTATGCTAGGGAAATACCATGCCACTGAGCTATATCCCCAGACTCTGTAACAATGCATTTCAACACAACATAAAAGCCTTGAGTGCAGGGATTTATTTTGCTCATAAATACATTCCATAGTGAGTACTATACTGAAGAGTAAAGATCCTCATTCCCTGCACAGGGTATCCAAAGTAATGGGGCTGGAGGCCAGTGAATGGTTCAGAGAATGTGCACAGTAACAACCATCTGGGGCCAGGCTTCAGCTCTGACTCTCCTGTCCCAATGGCTGCAGAAAGTAAAGCATCAATCCTCTTAACACTTTCAAGTGAGTCCACCAGCTGCAGTATGGTATTTCTGATACCAAAAGATTGGTATTTTCTAATATAGATTGTGACTGGAGAAAAAGATGCTTAGTGCTAGCTGAGCTTAATACAGAGTCTTAATTAATCACTTAACTTTTTGAGACAGGACCTCAGGTATCTCAGGCTGGCCTCAAACTCACCATGTGGCCAAGGATGACCTTGAACTGATCTTCTTGTCTCTACCTTTGAAGTGCTGGGATTAGAGGCTTGCATCACCATACCCGATATATGCAGTGCTGGGGATCGAACCCAGGACCTCATGCATGTTAGTCAAGCACTCTACCAGCTGAACTATAAGCTGAGCCCTTAAAATGGAGCTTTAAATAAAGGGTTAAATGCAACCATAACAGCCATGCTAATTTTCAAATTCCTATTACAGCTCTAACTGATTTCACCCACTTTGTCTGGAGTCCAAACATTCAGGCTACTTCACTTAACATGTTAGAACATTAAAATATTTACAAAATGGTTTTAAGAATTAAGTAAAAAATACATTCTTGAAAAAACTTTAAATATTGTTAGTGGTTCTTTTTAGACAATGAAAATATCATTTAAAGGTCAATTGGGAAGTGACAGTGACCGCTCTGCTATCCGTTATATTCCTTGCTAGCACTGCCTTTTGGGGTAAATATCTTTAAAAATGCAGTCCAAAGTTTTTAAAATTGAAAATTTTTAAATTAACCTGCACCACCACACCCATTTTCTGCGGTGCTAAGGATCAAACTATTTCTTCTATTTCTCGAGAATAAAAGGCAGAGGCACTGAAGTATTGCAGTTTGCAGGAGGGAGGTAATGGTGCTGCACCAGATTTTGAACACTGTACAAAGATGTTATCACTTGGGGCCTGCCTGAACACTTAGATGTTTAAAAATTAAATAATTATTTAGAGTTGCTTTCAATCCCCCTCCCTATCAAACTCAAACATAGTGAAGTGGTTTTGTTGTTGTTGTTGTTGTCTTTAGCATCAGCTCCAAAACCACACACACACACACACACACACACACACACACACACAAATCAGGGAGTAGAGAAGCCAGGAAGAAACAGAACAACACTTGTGACACCTGCCAAAAGCAAAGAGAGGAGGGGTGGGGACATGAACAGAACAGCACAGGAAACTACATCTTTATTATATCAAGAACAAAAGGACAGGGTGTCTCTCTCCTCTACAGCCACCTTTAGGAAACACGGTGTGCGCTCCCACTCATTGCCTACTGACTGAACTAGAGTGAAGAGACAAAGCCCAGGACCAGCTGGCAGTGTTACCACAGCAGGGAAGAGCAGAGGAGAGAACTGGAGAGAGATGCAGGCTAGAGTACTCCTCAGCCAGATAGCTAGAGCAGGATGGCGACCAATCAGAATCAGGAGCAGAGAGTGGGAGTCAAGTGAGTCCCACTGTATTCATAACTGTTCTTCCAAAGGGCCTGAAACAAAGCCCTGGAAGCCTGCAGGTGGGGAGGAAGAGCAAGATCCAAATACTTGCAAACTTACATCAGTCCTTAGGAGGAAGGAAAAAAGAGGCTGCAGATTGGACACAGTAGGATCACAGGAGTTAGGTAAAGTTTCCTTTAGAAGACAGTGCTGGCATTTCTAAGCACTGCCTGGAATCGTGCTGCCCTTCTCTCCCCTCCTTGCTATGCCCACCAGAAGATTAGAAGACCATATGCATGTAGGTGCGCTTGTCTGCAGATGTCTGAAGTTTTTAAAAACTCAAGGTCTGGGGGAGGCACTGTTGCTTCCTGTCACGTAAATATATCTGACTGCAGCCAGAAAACCAAGGGCGGGAAGCAGGGTGAGCGAGCTCCAGAGGCACTCCCTGGGCACAGAGGACCTGCTCATCTTTTGGGGGCTACTGAGGGAGAGCTGTTGTGCATGAGAGTGCCTTTCTAAGTCCCACTGTCTTGCCGCTCAGGCAAACACAAAAACACTGGATGTGGCTTAGCACTAGAACTGGGTGACAGTGAGAGAAGACAGTGGCGATGTTTCATAAATCCTGGCCCTATGTGGGCAGGCAGAGTTCTCAATGCCTTCATACACAGTATAGACTCTCATCACCACAGGAGGTGCACCCACACCTTTAAACAAAGAAATCGTGACTTCTGCTGGCCAGTAATGAAGGTCATACTGGCATAGACAGTATGATATTTAAAAAAATTTTGTTACTTTTATTTTATGTATATGAATATACTGCCTGCACGTGTGTAAGTGCACCCATGTTGTGCAATGCCCACGGAGATCAGAAGAGGGTGTCAGATTCCCCAGAACTGGAGTTATGGAAGGTTGTTAGCTGCCATGTGGGTGCTGGGAATTGAACCCAGGTCCTCTGCAAGGGCAGCCAGTGCTCTTAACCGCTGAGCCATCTCTCTAGCACCCATAGTATGATATTTTTCAAAGGTGTTCACATAAAAGGGAGATCTTTGAATGTGGCTAATTATCTTGGACTATTATCCTAAAATTCTAAGACAAGGCTAAATTTCACAAACTGGTCATTTGACAGTCACTAAAAAGTTAGAAAGAGTTAAAAGAGATGAGGCAAAAACTGAAGGAAATGAAAAAAAATTCAGAAAGAATGATGGCAGAATGGAGAGAAAAAGTGAGTAACTTAGCATCTTCTTTCCTTAATATATTTTCTATACACAGCAGGGCAGAGTGGCAGGCCTCCAATACAACTAGCTCTGTCCCGTCAATCCCTGTCCAGGAGTGCTCCATAAGCCCAGAATGACCAGCCTCAAGTCCCTTGACACTTGCATCGCTGGATTTTATCAGGGCTTGTTCAGGCAGGAGAGTTCACAGAACCTCTGACACTTCAATTCACAGTTCCCAAGACAGGTAGTCACAGTGATCAATACTATGACATTCACAGATACTATCGACTTGTTCACACGACAGCAAGACAGATCCTGAAGGAAAATACAGAATTTTACAGATCCAGTACAATAGAATATGGGTCTATTTTCCTGTTATCTTGGTCTACCATTCCAAGTTCCACGGCCATGGTCAATACAGAAGAGACGGAACAATGGAAGGATACCATCCCTCACCCCCACTCCCTCACTCAAGTTACCCATTTGTTACAATCAATGAGTCTGTGCACAAATTCTAGAAAGTTCTCTCAGAAAGAACTCCAAGCATAGGGCCCTTTCCCCCACAGCCAGGCTGGTGCTTCAAATCCCTGCCTTTCCACATCATGGCACTCAACCAGTCTGTGTTCTATGCTGCACTGTCTGCTCTGAATCGGCTGTGAGAAGGTCACACCTCTCAAAACATCTTCTTTCACAGAAATGCCTTAAAAGTTCACCCTTTCTTGCCAAGAACTAATGTACAATCTGAAAATGTGACCTTCACACCTTTAAACAAGAGGCTGACAGGGACTTAAGTTTTTAATCTAGACAGTCAAGAACCAGTCTCTTTCATCTTTATACCTAAAATACAATGAAGACATGTCCAGGTCTTCAGATTCCCACTGCTTAAAATGAAAGCAGGGATATTAAATTTTATGTGCGCAGAAAAACTAACCTGGAAAAATTCATATTTGTTGACATCAGAATTTATTAAATGGGGCTAAGGGAGTGGCTCAGTGATTGAACACTTGTCTAGCCCTTGGCTCAATCTC